CGATGAACGCAGTGGTTGTCCAGAAATCATTGACAACGATGCTTTGAGACAAGCAGTCGAACTGGACCAGTGCCTAACAACACGCATTTTGTCAGAACAGTTTAATTGCAGTCATATCACAATTTTACGCCACCTACATGCGCTTGGGAAATCGAATAGATGCGGAAAATGGGTACCGCACAAACTCTCTGAAGCAAACAAGAAGAAGCGCGTCGAAGTGGCCAATGATCTTCTGCGCCGCTCAAAAAATCGCGGTTTCTTTCATTCAATTTTGACATCAGACGAAAAATGGATTCAGTATGACTGTTCTAAAAGAAAACATCAGTGGCTCAGTCCGGGCGAGACCCCAAAACCGATACCAAAACCGGATATACACGGAAAAAAGGTTATGCAATGTGTCTTTTGATTCACGATAACGCTCGACCGCATACCGCGAAAATCACCCAGAAAAAAACTTTGGAGCTGGGCTGGGAAGTGCTCTCACATCCGCCTTACAGCCCAGATTTGGCACCATCTGGCTATCATTTGTTCCGGTCCATGCAGCATCATCTGGCAGAGAAGAAGTTCAAAAACGACGAAGATGTCAAAATTTGGGTGACGAACTACTTCGAGTCACAGCCAGCGGAGTTCTTCAAGAGAGGCATCGAATCTTTGCGCATGCGTTGGCAGAGAGTGGTCGATAATGATGGAGAGTATCTTCTCGATTGATGTCCTCTTGTTTCATTTTTACAATAAAAATATTACTCTTGTCCGAAATTAATGCACGTTGCGGCCGAGAAAACAACGGTGGGCGGAGCTTAGCTCCCATAGAGAGAACACCACAGTATTTTTCAAATTATTGCACGCGCCTTTAATACAGTACCTCAACTTTTATTGAATTTTTGCCTTTTTCTCTTATTTTTTTTTTCGCTCATTTCTGTCTAATTTAGCATTATGGTAAACGCAATCCTAAGACAGTTTATTTTATTAAGGGATCCCCCATTACTCCGCATCGCTCATTCAAGGACCTAGGTATACTAGTTGATGATCAACTTCAATTCGACAAACACATCAATCTTATTGCCTACTCTGCTAAACTCAAGTCCCGCCAAATACTGAAAACGTTCCAATCGAAAAACCCTTGTTTATATTTCCGTCTCTTCGACACCTACATTAGACCGGTCCTCGAATACGGTTGTGAACTTTTGGATCCATCCAATGCCACACTTGCCAATAAACTAGAATCTCCTCTTCGTTATTTCACCAGAAAAGTCTTCCAGAGATGTAATATGCCCTTCAATTCATACACCGATCGCCTATCCCAGTTCTCTATGCTAACCACCCTTCATCGCCGCACCCTTCTAGTTCTTCGTACCTATCACAAAATTGTTATAAACTCATACCATTTTCCCTCTATGTCGTCCTACATTCTTCCCAGCCATTCTAACAGAGCCCCCCGTATTTGTTCAAAATCAACGGTCAATACTTTGACTGCTTCCTTCACAGAAACTTATCTATGTGGAACCGTGTATGTAAGGTGATAAATTCTATGCTCAGTCCGGTGGCGTTTGCTAAGCGAGTAGGAGCGATTCCTTATGATATTCTGATCCCTCCCACTTGACCTACAGGACTCTAGTCGGTCCGTTTGGTCATTTTATTTTATTATTTGTACAGGTCCCATTTCTTGCCAAATTATCTATCGCTTTCCCCCATGAATTGCAAATAAATATATTATTATTTTGTGTAATTCTTATAAATCTTTAATTTATTTTTCTTATAAAATAGAAAAAACAGGTAAATGAGGCCCAAAAAAAAGGTTCGAGGTACGGTATTTAAAGGCGCATGCATCAACTTGTTGTTTTCGCTGTGCGACCGGCGATGCGATTTTGACTAAATTTTCGGCCGCAACGTGCATTGATTTCGGACGGGAGTAATAAAGTAAATCAAAAACGCGCATTACTTTTGTACCAGCCTAATATCTCAAAGTTATTCAAAAGCTTCGTTTTTTCAGGTCTAATTGTAAAAACTGAAATTCCAGACCAAACTTCAAACTTCAAATTTCGTAAAATAACGTGACTTCTAAAATCTCAAATTTTTACAGCACCACTGGGGGTTCAAGCGAGGGGGTCAGAAAGCGCGCCCCAGCAAACTCGNAGGCCAGAAGAAATTTAATAATTTTAAATTGGACGCGGGTTTGATCTAGATCATGATCTATTTCTTCAAAAACAACTGGTTGCAAGGCGCGCTTTTTCGCTCTTAATTTAAAACTGTGAAACTCAGCCAACGAAATTCGGCAGCGAATTTAGAACTTTTCCTAAATTTACTGGGGCGCGCTTTCTGACCCCCTCGCTTGAACCCAAGTGCAGGCATCAAAAAATTAAAATTTCCGCCCTCAAATATTTAAATTTTTGAGAACTTTCCGTGCAGCGGATAACAAATAGACAAAACTTAGAATTCTTGGTATGAAAATGTTCGCTAGCATCTCTAGAATCTGATTTTCATCGAAAAACCAAACTTAATTGCGAAAGTAGCTCGAACGAGGCGAAGGTCTGAAATATTACATTTTTGCCGCACTTTTTCGTAGATCAAAAAAAAGCTACGCCTTTAAAACTCTCAGTTCTTTCAGTTTTCCCAGATTTCTTTCGAATTTTTGAATTTCGAAAAATTCCGAAAAATCCGTATTTCAGACTTACAAAATACTCTCTGAAAATTCAACAATGATTCATTTCTTTCAAGAAAAACTTGGGAGCGGGGACGGGGTAAAAAATCAATAAATATCAATCACCAATTCAGTATAAATTCACAGAATGCACAAAAAATAATGATTATCAAAAAATCCAGTTTACAAAAAAGAAGGGGTGTAAGTAGTCGCTGAAAAAGTTAGAAGAACAATCCGGCCAATGGATCAACCGATTTATCGATTTGTTGATTTTCGAAAATCGATCGATTATCGATCGATTGATTGGTGGTAAAGTGAGCTGGGTTTTGAGCAGCCCGCATCTCATTCAGTGTTGGCATTTTTCGTTGTGAAGCAAATGAATTGACAGGTGCCGGCGGAGCAGAAATTTGATGAGAAGAGCTGGACCACGGATTTCCTGGAAAAATCAATATTTTTGAACTTCAGAATTTCAATATTTCAAAACATTCAACTAACCAGAGCAACTCGAAGCACTTCCGGTACCCATCAAATCGTCCAAATTCACCAATTTCCCATTTTCACCCAAAAAATTGTTCGTAATTGAAGATGATCTGGTGCAAATTGGAGTTTTCGCTGAAGACGTGGACATCTGAAAAATGGAAATACTGAAAATTTGAGTCTAGAACGTCTGGTCTCGAAATGACCAGTTCTAGAATTCAAAAATTCAGAAATTCAAAAATTCAGAAATTCGGAAATTCAGAAATTCGGAAATTCAGAAATTCAGAAATTCAAAAATTCAGAAATTCAGAAATTCAGAAATTCAGAAATTCAGAAATTCAGAAATTCAGAAATTCAGAAATTCGGAAATTCAGAAATTCAGAAATTCAAAAATTCAGAAATTCGGAAATTCAGAAATTCAGAAATTCAAAAATTCAGAAATTCGGAAATTCAGAAATTCGGAAATTCGGAAATTCGGAAATTCAGAAATTTGGAAATTCGGAAATTCGGAAATTCGGAAATTCAGAAATTTGGAAATTTGGAAATTCAGAAATTCAGAAGTTCTGGAATTCAAACATTCAAAATTTTCAGATTTTCAGGATTTCTGAGTTTTTGAGTTTCTGAATTTCTGGATTTCTCGAATTTTTGAATTTTTCAACTCTCAACTCCCCAAAAAATGTATAAACCATATCGATTCCAAATCTACAGTATATCAATGATAATTCTGATTTTTTCGGAATTTCTCTCTTGTAAAAAATCGCTAAAAGTAGATAAAAAATAAGCCAACAATTGAACTGTCCAAATAAAAAAGTCAGGGTTACTGTAGAATTCACAATTACAGCCATGATAAATTTTCAGTTGATAAAACGTGAAAATAAACAAAATAACAAAAATGAGGACAGGAAAAAGTGAATAAATGACCTCATTATTTTCGAAGAAATATTTCCGGTTGACTGGGAAAATCTTGTCACCGATGTGTAAAAATTCTGTAGTCTACGTAGAGACTAGACTTTTCGAAAGTCTGGAAATTCAAAAAAATTCTAATGCAGAGTTTATTTATTATTCAATAAAAATCATATCAAATTGGATATTCGAATGAGTCGAACGAATTATTGATTTTTGGTAAATCGGCCAAGTTTTGATCAATAAATCGATATTTCAATGTGATTTCCTGTTTGGCACCTCTTGTATAATGTGAAAACAGTGAGAAGTTCTTTGAAAGCAGGAAATATGATCAATATGATCGAAAAATTGATCAAGATCGGCGGTGAAAAATTTTGCTAAACAACGCGCACTAGCGTAATAGCGGAGTGTCGTTGTCGTTTTCATGGGGGAAAGCGTGCATGCTATATGGATGCTATATGGGTGCGACCACCGGCGACCAGTCGTGCCCAGCGACGACGCATATAGTGCGCACGCGCTACCCACGGAATTATTATGGGTGCACATAGCATCCTATATGCGCGCCTAGGCATATACCATAAGCAGCCGTTACCCTGTGTATAGGAAGCAGCATATTGTCTGTGTCTTCTTCAGCATTTTATAAAAATGATCGATCAGTGGGATTACCAGGGTCTGAAACATCTTTGAATTTTCAGAAAATTTCGTACTTTTCCATAGATACATTTTTATCCCGTTCTCGATTCACTCGGTTGACATACATATAAAATGGGAATAGTACTTGAAGAAAAATAAAAGTGTAAATCAAAAATTGGACGAAGGGTTCTTCAGAGATTACATCCATTTCATCATTTCCGAAGACTTCCCATTTGAATGAGGTGTTCCAAGTGGCATTCATCGAAAACACTGAAATTGTGAAACAAAAATATACCTTAAACACTCTAATGGATCGCCGCCCGGACCGTCCACTTTGAGCCTATATATCTCACTGATTTTGAAGGATATCAAAAAGTTGTTCACTAGTAAAATGTTTATCACATTATCAGCAATATTTCATTAGTTTACCACTTTTTGATATATCTCACAGAAAATGAGATACATGGGTTCAAATTTGACGATTCGGGTGGCGTTCTATTAGAGTGTTTACGGGAAATACGCCGACTAATAGAAAATGCAAACATTATGAGAAATTTTTCCTAAAATATCCCTTGCACAAGTTTTCAGAATCTGTCAGTAGCAGGTGGAAATGTTTTTTTGATTTCTTTGAACTTCAAAAAAAGTTCCTCACTTCCTCTTCCTTAAGATTTTTCAGCTACTTGAGTATTTGTTGATCTAGTTTTATTTCTCAAAAAATTGCTTGAATTCGAATGTCATGTGCCAATTTTTTTCCTGGAAAAATCACATACTTATTTGCCATTCTGTAGTTTATAGCATAAGAAGTAATAGACGAACATAAGCAGTTCCATTGGTAAACGGTGCATCCATAACATCTTTCAAGAGAATTTCAAATACGGAAGAATTATTTGTAACAGCACTCATCGGAAATAACTGGGTGCTGGAACTGAGAAAGAATTCGTGAATTCTAAGGAAGCCTTCTTCACCTGTCACTGAGTTTTTTTCTGGAAAATTCATCAGTATTAGACTAAACATGCAGATGTTATAGCTATAAACTACAGAATAGTTAATGAGTATTTGGTTTTTTTCCTGGAAAAAGTTTTCACCTGATAGTTTCTCGAAAATCGTGACAGCCAACTAATAAGAGCTATTTCTAGAATACTTCGAGGAAACATTAAAAAAAAACGTTTTTCCTTATTCTCATATAAGTCTGCATTCTTTTTGAACACCGGATTTGTATTCTTGTTTCCCAAGTTCAGTGTTTTTCATGAAGGTCATTTTGAATACCTCATTCATACCGAATTTTTTCGAAAATGTTGAAATAGAAGGTTCCAAAGACCACTTGATGGAATTTCTGCTTTGCTCTTTGTTTGTTCTTCAATTAATGTTCCCATTCTATGTGTACGTCAATAGAGTGAATCGAGAACGGGATAAAAATGTATAATATATTTAAAAGGTTAAAGTTTTCTGAAATTTTTGAAATTCAGACGTTGCTATTTCCACTAATTGATCATTTTTATGGAATGATGAAAAAGACACAGGTAATATACTGTTTCCTATGGTTCTTCATGTTCTTCTTATTTGAGAAAATTGAAGATTTTGGAAAACAAAAGTTAGTAACTGTTTTCTCATTATTCTAGCTAAAAAATATAGTTTTTTTTTTCAGAAAACCTATTTCCACGTACCTGATGTAAGTTGAAATGCTTTTTGATCTTCCAGTGGAAGAGTGATTATCGATTTTTTGCAGGTACGCGATTCCATTATTTGCCCTTTGTTTATGCGTGCTTGCTATGTTCGTCTTTACTCAAGTTTTCCAATTTTTCTTAACAATCATGGCCGTTCAAAAATTCTTTCTCTATTTCTACCCATCCTCTCAAAAATACATAGTTTTATCTAGCAAGAACATGCACTATTTCGTTCGATATGTCTACTACTTGTTCATTTCTAAAGACGTTATCGGCAGAATTTTATTATTTTTTTAATTCAAAAAAGCTACTACAAAAGGATGAAAAAGGCACTGAACTCGTATGGCTAGCTATTGATTTTGATGTGGTGGGGTTTTGTGTTCTCATGGAAATAAATTCTTTCTCTTCATTCAGATATTTTTCGCTACACTTAATATATCTTTCTTTATTTCTACTCTTCTGTACATCCCTATATTGATAAGTGTTCAAAAGAAGTCCCATTTGAGATCAGTCCAGGAATCGAAACCTCAAATTTACATTTTCTCGCAAACATTTACTGTTTTGGTTGTAAAAATGGTAAGATTGCAAGAATCCAAAAGCTCAATACCCTCGCATTTATTAAAGATATACACACTTTATTTTTTATTTATTCATTTTGACAACTTCAAAACTATGATTATTTCCACTCGTATATGTGATACATTTTCTATTCCAGTTTTAATTCAAATATCTTATCTGACTTGTAACAGACAAAATGTCATCACTCTATTTGCTTCATTCAAAGGAATGAAACTCGTTAAAGAATTAATAAAACCTGAAGCAACAACGAGAGTGAGTCCAGATCCAGGGAGACACAGGATTTGAATTCTGAAGATCATTGTCATATTCTTTATCTATTTAAATAAACAATGTATTCGTTTTCCATTATAAATGAATCTTTCAATTTCCGAAACCAGTACACGGATGTTTCAAAATTTCATTAGATTCAAAACATTTTTGAACATTTTCCAAAAAAAATTTGGGATTATTTCCAGGAAACTAGAAAATTTTTCGTAGCGTTTCATACGTTTTATGCTTCAAAAATCAACAAACTTATTATTTTTTTGGGTTCTTTTCTAGAAACTTTTTTTCTGAAATTTTCAGTTTTATTGAAAATAATAATAAAAAAATTGCATATTTTTCATTACTGTTTTCGCTACTCACCTAGTGCTGTGCAATTAACGAAAAATCAAAAAAATAGTAATTCACAATTGTTTTTCTGATCACTCAAAAACTTTTATTTTTCAACATACTCATAATTTTTTTTCCGGTGTTGGTGAAAAATACTCAATGAAATACGTCGTCAAAACTTTCCCGAATTAGCTCTCGTTAGTGTGCGGTCACAAGTATCAAGAAGATTTCTTATGACAGGTGAAAAGGGTATTTTTGATTTATAAACTTCGAAAACATCTTCTCACTTCCATTAGCCACAAGCTTTTCAATGAATGAAACTTCCAATACTTCGTCCATATTGGATGTCTTTGAAACTGACGAAATAGGACTAACCTTACAAAATAACTTTACTATATTTACTTTTTTAATCTTTATTTTTCTTCAATTAATATTCCCATTTTATCCTTAACAATCATGGCCGTTCAAAAATTCCTTCTCTATTTCTACCCATCCTCTCAAAAATACATAGTTTTATCTAGCAAGAACATGCACTATTTCGTTCGATATGTCTACTACTTGTTCATTTCTAAAGACGTTATCAGTAGAATTTTATTATTTTTTAATTCAAAAAAGCTACTACAAAAGGATGAAATAGGCACTGAACTCGTATGGCTAGCTATTGATTTTGATGTGGTGGGGTTTTGTGTTCTCATGGAAATAAATTCTTTCTCTTCATTCAGATATGTTTCGCTACACTTAATATATCTTTCTTTATTTCTGCTATTTCGTACATCCCTATATTGATAAGTGTTCAAAAGAAGTCCCATTTGAGATCAGTCCAGGAATCGAAACCTCAAATTTACATTTTCTCCTGCTTTATTTCTTCCCGTCCTCACAAAAATACATTATATTATCCATTAGGAATATGAAATACTTTACACTATTTGTTTATTTCCAAAGATGTTATCAATTTAATTGTATTCTTTATTAGTTTATCAAAAGTGCAAAATGGGACACTGATCTCTATAGGCTGGTCAGACGTTTTATTCTGGTAGGGCTTTGTGTAGACTTGTTAAAATTGGCTTTTTGTTCGGCGCCAATCGGCAAGAAAGAAATAAAAAAATTTGTAATTCAAATCGAAAATATTGCCGTTTGACGTCATTAATTTTTATGAAAATCTATGTTTTCTTCTTTCAGATATTCTTCACGGTAATGAATGTATCTTTCTTTGCATCTACTCTTTTATACATTCCTGTAATGATAAGTGTTCGAAAAATGTCAAATTTAAGATCAGTTCAAGAATCGAAACCTCAAATTTACATTTTCTGGCAAACAATGACTGCGTTGGTTGTGGAAATGTTAAGCTGAATAATCACAAGCCCGTGAACCATCTGATTTGTTCAAGATGTATATCCCTCTACTCTTTTTCTCTTTATGGTTGTTTTCACTCGTATATGGGATGTATTTTCTATTCCAGTTATCATTCAGATATCTTACCTGACTTGCAACAGACGAAATGTTGTCACTCTGATTTCTTCATTTAAAGGAATGAAACTGATTAAAGAATTAATTAAACCCGAAGTGACTTCTAGAGTGAGTCCAGATCCAAGAAGACATATGGTTTGATAAGGGAAACTGATAATTATGAAGTTTTTTTTCTGCAAATTTTTTAAAGGTCCTAATAAAAATTTTGACATTTATAATACCCCAGCAAATGGAACATTTTGGAACAACTGCTAGTTTCCCTTTTGGAGGAAAATAAGGTTTCTGTGAACCACTTGTTTTATACGTCTACGCTTGGCGTCACGCTTGGGATCCTTGCCACCTTTTCTGTGTTTTGACACATTTTTAATATTTTAGAATACATAGTTTGTAGTCGTGCAGAAGGACTACTGCTGCCGCGACAGTCCAACTCACAAGCGGTCAATATCATCAAGGTTTCTGAAAAAAATATTATTCTTTAGAAATAAAATGATGAAACGCTCACAAATTAATTGTGTGTTGTACCAGTATGTATAAACCCGGGGCGTATATGAAACAGTATCATTGTATAAAAATGGTCTACGATTGGAAATACCAAGGTCTTTAATTTTGAATTTTTCTAAAAGCTCACACTTTTTTAATAGATACATTTTTTATCCCGTTCTCGATTCACTCTATTGACGCACACATAAAATGGGAATATTATTGGAAGAACAATAAACATTGATAACAAAAGTAGAGCAAAGTAGTACTGTAAAGTGTCCTCTATTTTGCTAATTTCAAATATACCCCAAGACGGAGCATTCAATGTGGAATTTATTGGAAATATGAGCAAAAAGTTAATACGGATTCAAAGAAAACTTTTTCACCTGCTATTGATATTTGATTTTGAAACTAGTGACCGCCCCTAATATGAGATATTTCTCGGAAGTTTAACGTTGACGCATTTTCAGTGCCTTGACGCAATTTTAGCGCATTGATGTTGTTTGGGTACTTTTAATAGTTTCCTGTGCCTTGCCGCATTCTTAGTACATTGAAGCCGCTTTGGGTCATTGTTCAAGTTATCAGAACTTTGACGCGCTTCCAGTGCTTTGAGGTCTTTTCAGTGCTTTGACTCATTTCCGGTGCCTCGCCTCATTTTAACATTTTACTGATAGCAATTTTTGTTGACATAATACTCTTTTGATTTGCTCAAAATTTCAACACCACCTTTACTGATAAGGAACTCCAATTCTCCATTTTCCCACTTATTTTCTGATTTTATAACAATATGAATTTTATTTCCGAAGAACTAGAACTGGTGCCTCCGGGAAAACGAGATTTTGAAGAAGAAAGATTCAAAAAGCAAGCGGAGCAAGTGAGTTTTAAAAATAAAAATCGATTTTTTAGTCTTCAAAAAATTCAGAATTTCCCATACCAAAATGATCCAATTCTTCAACTGGTCTATGTCACATTTTCTACAGATACCGAGAAAGAAATTGTGGAAATGGAGCTATCGGAGCATGAGTGTTATTTTCAAGTTTTAAAAAAAGCGGATGAAATGTTTCCATTAGTTTGGACTGAAATGGTTTTTGGTGGGTTTCAGAATGATCGAAAATTTGGGAAAGTTGGTTTCAGGCGATCCAGAAAATTTGGATTCCAAACTTTCAAATTCGACAGATGTCTGGAATTTTGTACAACAATCAAAAATGTGTAAATTCAATTATTAGGTTGGCAGGAAAGTAACTGTCCCTTGTTTTAATTGTGAATAATACAAAAACCAGGTTAACCCAAGATTAGCATTATGCACCGTCGTGGTCCATAGCATGTTGGCAACATTCAGGGATCTTGTGGATACCCTTCCTCCATAAGCGAGCTAGCCGCGGATCGAAGAATTCATTTTTTTTAGTTTTTTCTCATAAATGGTGCAAAATTTATCACCCTCTAGATGACAGGTGCAAAATTTGAAAAAATTTCTTAAAAATGTAAATTCACAAAACAAATCTTTAAAAATGTGAAACATTAGAGAAAATTACTGGAAAAAAACCGAAAAAAAAATCAAAGTACAGAAGTTCAGAAATTCAGGAATTCAAACATCCAAAAAAAGTTTTCCAGATTTTTCTTTCAGAACAAACCGTGATTTTTTGAGCACAGTCGTCGTACCAATTCTTACTATTTTTGTATTATTTCCTTCGTTTTTTTTTTGTTTTTCATTCCCAACAAATGAGATTTCGTACTTTTTCATATTCAAAGAAATACGTAAACATCATGTGATCCTAAAAAATGACCACAAAAATACTCACAAAATTCGTAGTACTAATGGGAATGTCTTTTTTTTCATATTTTCAGTCTCAATTAATATTCTCAGCTAAAAAACGCAATTTCTTCCTAGAATTTCCAGAATCACAGATTTTATTTGAAATCTCAGAATGCTTCATTTATACTTTTCTGTTCAAAAATAGATTTTTTCCTCAAAAATGGGAGAAAAACTTGTTGAATACCTGACTAATTTTCCTATTTGAAACATTTTCTCTTCACAATTTATATCTTTCTTTTTTTTTCAAAAAAGCAAAAATCACATCTTCTTCCATTTTTCAGCCAAAAAACGTCACAAAGAACTTTTAGAATCTTCCTCATTTCTCTGCGTCTCTAATCTCTCTTTCTTTTTTTTTTTTGAAAAAAAGTAATGTGTCGCCATGGTTAATGAGTACATGAGTCTGTGACGAGAAAATATTTTTCACAAATCACTGAAAATATTTTTCGAAGAATTCTGACTAAAAGAGTCACATGGAAGTGTGAGAAAAATAGTTGAGAACAGGGGAAAAATAGAGGCGGAGTTTGTAGTTTTTAGTTTCAGATATTTTTGAAAAAAATTGGTTTTGAAAATTTTTCAAACTATTCAGAATGCTGACAACTAACTGGCAAGCCGATGTTGTAATTTGTGAGATTTTCATATTTATGCCAATTTATACAGTAGTCCTATCGGCTATTTGGTTTATGAGACCAAGGAAAGCATCATTTAGGACCCATTATTATACTTTGGTTCTTTCACAGGTAGGATTTTTATGAATTTCTGAATTTCTGAATTCCTTTATTTCTGAATTTCTGAATTTCTGAATTTCTGAATTTCGGAATTTCTGAATTTCTGAATTTCTGAATTTTTGAATTTCTTAATTTCTGAATTTCTGAATTTCTGAATTTTTGAATTTCTGAATTTCTGAATTTCTGAATTTCTGAATTTCTGAATTTCTGAATTTCTGAATTTCTGAATTTCTGAATTTCTGAATTTCTGAATTTCTGAATTTCTGAATTTCTGTTCCAGGGCGCCGCAATTTTTTTTGAATTTCTGAATTTCTGAATTTTTGAATTTCTGAATTTCTGTTCCAGGGCGCCGCCGACTTCCTTACCGTAACAATATTTATAACCCAAATGCTTCCCAGATATTTTCAAATCGGAAATTCCTTAATTTGGTGGTTAGACACGTATAATGCATCGAATTTCTATGTGAATTCCGGTCCCCAAATGTTTATTTTGCGCTCTATCGGACTATTTTTGATTACAATGCAAAGATACGCAACGATTTGTAGGCCACACGGAAGATTGAGTCATGTAAGTCTGGAAAACCCTGTATTAGAAGAGCACCTCTAATAAAAGAGCCCTCCAAGAGAGGATCGAAAAAATATAAGAGCTCCCTTTAATTGAAGGGCCCTCCGGGGGAACTCCAAAACAATATGAATGCCTGCAATACAGGTTTGATTGTATTCAGAAAAAAATTACAAAGAAAACTTTCGGACACAATTTCAATTTTTTTTAAAGGTCTTTGTTTTTTAAAAAAACCCCATCAAAATCATACAGATCCTATCAGTCACCCCATCATACACTTTGATTCTTTGTCATTGGCTAATTTCATTGCTCATCCATATGCCGGCTGTACTTGTCTGTCATGCACATTTTGAGAATCCCGTGTCATTTTTTGTCATCACTTCTGAAGAACACAAAAGGGTAGGGATCAGTACGTTCATTGTACAATTTTACAGACAAACTTCTGATTTTAAAACGAAAAAAGATCTTTGAACAATTTCACGGGCCATGTCTTAAAACAGCCGGTTGCAAAACGACAGATTTTGAAAGATCACATTTGAGAAATTGGAGAAAAAATCCAACTTTGAGGGAAATTTAAATATTTTTGAACCACAGACGTTTCAATTTTGTACATTTTCCAGACAAGTGCCGCCATCGTCATTTGCACATTTGTGTTCTGTGGACTATCCACAATTTTTATGTACTCGGGAATCATACGAATTTTGTGCTCCTCGAGGCGTACTTCTGTTATGAGCACTAGTAGTTGGTGAGTTGATTTTTGTTTTTTGATAGGGAGCAGAAGATCAAAATTGAAATTTGCGGGAGTTTTATAAGAGATTTATTCTGGAATTTTCGAAAAAAAAATACATCGAAAATAACGTTATTAAAATTGAATGAAAAATGACTCATTTTCTAAAAAATTAAAGCCTTAAAGGAGGCGAGACAGCAAAAATTTCGGGGCACAGTTCGGGGGACGAAATCGCGCCGCGCTTATGTAGACCATCGGTCGTCAGGCGCCTTCGCGCCCCCGTAGCTCAGCCGGTAGCGGCGCTGTACCCCTGAGCTGTCATGAGTTCAACCCCTCATGGGGGTTCTCTATGCAAAATATCAGGAAAACTTTTTTTTTGGTGTCCGGCCTCCTTCAAATTGTCGTGAGAAATCTTTCCCACATTATTTTTTTACTCACGACCAGTTTTGAGATGATTCATAATTTATGATTCAGAATTTCAGAATCTGACTTTTTCGAAATGTGTTTAAACAAAAATTTTGAATGTATGGTACCGGAAAAATACCAGATTTTGATTTTCGATTCTGAATTATTCAATTTTGAAGTTCAAAAAATGTAGCTCCAGATTTTTTTTTGATTTAACTGAAAATTTCAGATTAAATCAAGCAAAAATAGATCTAACATTTTATACTGAACAATTCTTTTTGTACTTTTTAATTTTGAACGCCTAATTTTGAATATTAAGTTTCAAACTGAACTGTTAAAGGTGAAGGGACATGAAAAAAATAATGTTCTCGAAATTTCGTTCAAAGATGCCCCTCGAGGAGTTGAACTTGTGAGGGCGATGATTGAGGGTGCGGCGCCGCTACCAACTGAGCCACGCGGGCAAAGAGAAAGCGCACGCCCGTTTGCATACATAAAGACGAGGACGACAGCTGTACGCAGAGTGACATTAGGCGTTGTACACCGTGACGGTAGAATGCATACTCTAGCTACAAAAAAACTACGAAAAATCTCTTGTCCCCCCACCTTTAAAGCTCAAATAAGCCTTCAATCCTAACCTTAAACCTTAGAAACCCTTTTAACATTACTTGAATCTTCAAGTAACGTTCGATAAAATTTGAAAATTGTCAAAACTAACTGAAAAATACGTTTTTGTATATCTCATTGATCGGTGCTATAACAAGTATAACTCTTAAATCTTTGGAAATCTTGAACCTTTTACCTTAATTTTGAACCTTCAATCTTGACAAACTTAAAAAAAAATTGAATCTTCTATGTAAAACGCGTCTGTTGGTCACCCTGTCACTCTGTGGATTTGTGAGAAGTTTGGAAAATAAGTATAGACTTACGTGATACTTTAAGAAAAAGTAAGGAGCGACGGTTCAGTATGAAACTAGATTAAATCGCGCAGAAGGCGCACCAGCTAGCTGTTCAAAGCACCGGAGGCGCGGCAAACTGATCTATCAATAATTTTCCAGGCAAACCCGTCAGAATACCTACCAAGAAGCTCGTCTATGCATTCACGTCTTCTTCCTATGTCTAATGTCAGCTGCCACATTCTCCTACTACGTCTTCCAAGCTCTCTACTCAAATGAACTCGGTGTAGGCGACGTAGTGATATCTGAAATGAAATCTTCAAATGATTCAATATCTCTGCAGCAAGAAAATCTTCGATCTCTTCGATTATGGTATCCATTGGTTTCTGGAAATATGAGTTTCATCAATCCGTTAATGTTGTTATTGTTGAATCGAGACATTCAAAAGTGTTTTGTCAATTTTTGCAAGGGGAAGAAAGTGAGTAGTTCTTGAAGATACTGTAGTATTGGGTTTCTGAATTTCTAAATTTTATATTTATTTTCAGATGAACAATACTAGCAGTATACTAGCAATGAATAGAACTTTGTAGTTTTAATTGTCAATTTCTTTCAATTGATTTCTTAATTTAACTTGTCCAATTTTTGATCTCAATTTTTTTCTGTAATTTTGATAGTTGAAAGGGGGACTCCGACCAAAAATTTTTATTACATTAAAATGTGTTAAAAGTTATCTATTTTCCGAATATTATTGCGAAAAAATTCAAAAAAAAATCCGGAATCCCCAAAAAAAC